TCATAAACATACATAACCCATTTACCTTTACCTTCTTTCCTTGGACCTCCACCTTAAGTAACCCTTAAGCAATACTTTTGTGCAATGTATGGGAAACGTCCCATACCATCACCCATACTAAGGCACCACCTTAATGTCATACAAAGTGCACTTACCATGCGTACCTCAACCTTCACTAATTAGTCACATAAGACATATAAGCACATAAGGCAACAAGTCACTTCATAAAGCTAGAACACTCATCAAATGTCATCCCAAGACTCACCTAAGTAAGACATGGTGAGGCAACCCGTACTACCTCTCCATACCACATCCAATAGATCCTTAAGGCTACACAAGACAAGCTCCATTCACATCTTAACATAAATCGTTCATTCAACTAAGTGCATGTAGACAACTTCATTCACTAATGACATAAGATCATCACATACATTCAATTCAACATAAGCACTTACATTCAATTCATTATGACTTACTTTCACATTAGCATGCTCCAACACTTTCATTAATTAACCCAATAAGACATATTCATTCATTATCATTACAAAGACACACCAAGATCTCCCTTAAATGTCTACTTGCGCAATGTCTAGATGATGTCCCATTCCACCACCTATCCTAAGGAGTACACCCTTAAGAGACCCTAGTTCATTCATTCATTAATGTGGGGGAAGAGCCTTAACCAGCAAATACCATGGAGCTTGACATGGAATCCCGGTAGTACACTTTGCGGATGAGGGATCCCTACTTGCCTAAGGTAGGGTCATTCTTTTAGCCTTTACGTGGTAGAGACCACTAGCTAGACCTATGTGGGCACATAGTTAAGGGATAGAAGGATTGCTTCTAAGTACTCTCATCTCAACTCACGAAGGAGTACCAATCCTAGCCCAACATTCATTTATTTAGGGAAGCTCTTGGAATCAAAGATGAGAAAACCTTTCATCTAGGAACCCCATTCATTTAAAGGAGTTCTTTATGAGACTATCTTTACAAAAGACCAAACTTTCATTCATTAGCATTAACTCCCATTCTTTTCATTCATTCT